TCCCGCGCCGCCCGCTGGAAGACGCTCGAAGCCCAGGCGCCAACTCCAGCTGAGCGCCCTGGAAGCCTGCGGAGAAATCATGAGCTTTCCGTCGAAAAAAAAAAGGCGGACGCCTTTTTTTTTCTCCGGCCGGGGGTGGGAAAAACCGATTTGAGAAAAACTGATTTGAGAAAATGGGACTTGCAACCCAGTGGGCATATGGGTTGGGTCAACCAGAACCTCCCCGGAGCCCCAAAAATGGGCTCATGTGTGGTACCGAACACCCGGCGATGGGGGGAAACCGAAGTTCTGGTCGTTGGGAGGAGGCTTCAAGTCTGCAGAGTATCGAGCTGGACGAAGCATTGGCCAAGCTAAGTTGTAGCAGTAATTGTTCAGTTATAGCCCACTCAAATAAGCGATTTCTGCCTCATTCGGACAGTGCCTAGGCATCGCTTAAGAGAGTTTCATGGAACTCTGGGTCCTGCGGGAGCTGAGTCGCCCAGGATTTCTTAGGCCTTTTGGTCTCAGGGCTTGGGTTTCGGCCGTGGTTGGTGTTTGCAGGGGGAGTCATGCCAGGGTTGCTTAGGTGGTGCGAAATGGATTTCGCAACCATCCACAGTATCTCCGGAATCAGTTTTATGTTTTCTAAAATATATCGTAGTGTAAGCAGACGACCCCAGTGATTGTCAAGAGGAAAGGTCACGAAGCCCAATTGCTCAAAGGTCCGACGTGCCGTACCACAGCAAAGAAGTAAGATCTAGGGCAGGGCTCCTTAAAAGATACATTTTGCAACCATTTGAAACATGTTGCATTTTCCACCAAAATAAAGGGAACCCACCATTGACAAGGCAACGTTCTGGTGTATAATGTAAGGATCCCTGGGTCAGATGGTGCGAACTGAAGGGAGCTGGCTTCAGGCTGGCCGGCTGAAATGCGATTCCTTTCCCAGGATTAACCCCAAGCGCTCATGCGAAAAGTGCCATGGGAGGGGATCCAGATTGCAGGACTTTGCCCCAGGACTTTGCCCCGTCCACATGAGAGTACTTTGAGTGACCAATCCGCGGCCGAGTGGCTCCCAAACCAGAGTTTTTGGGCGGCCACCCTTTGAAATGCTCTGACGAAATCGAGGCAGGAGCACTGAACTGCGGGGGAGGAAGATGTGAGTCTGAGATGGCAAACGAATGTGTGCTAACTTGGAAGTGAACACCAGAATGGATGGCTTCCTTGTGATTTTTCTTAAACACCAAGCCAAAGGGGTTCGAATTACTCCAAAGAGGTTCCACCCACATCCATGGGATTTCAACCACGGCATGAGACGCCAAGAAAACCACCCGGAAGCGCACTGCCTGCCAATGCTTTGAGGCGGGGGTGGTCCTTTTTTTTGAGGCTCGGCACCCCTTTTGGGGGAAACCACTTGTTTTTTGGGTCCCTGAAGACACACCCAAGTAACCCCAAGATGGCGAGCTGAATTTTAAGAGTTGGGGCCACCTCAAGAGCGGTCGGTGGACCTTTCTTGTCCCCGAGCTCTGAATTCGGATGTCCAAAGGGTGCCCCAAAGAACAGAAAGTCACACACCCATACATTTCAATGTGGCTTGGTTTGGTTCAAATCCCATGCTCGCCTTTTTCGGTCTGTGGTCCTTGGGTGTGAAGCTCACTCCAACAGATAGGGATTGCGTGTGGCTGAATCCGTGGAGCAATTCTGGAAAAAGGCCGACTTTGTGTCTGGAATCCCGGGAGGGGGGGGGGGTCCAAGGTCCAAGGGGGGTTCCTTACGAAGCCTTTCTGAGGAACCCGGAACCCTACGGAACGTCCAATGTCCACCTCTCTCTGAGACCGAACTTGGGCAACCTGGTGCTCGTCGACGCGGACAATGTCCCTGCAGCTCAGTTGTACGGAAAACGTCGCCAGGAAACTACAAGGCTGACGCTGACGGAGCACTTGCCAAGCAAGTCTGCCTTGCAAGTTACCAAGGATATGGGTGTGGCTCAAAATTTAAGAGCTAGGGTTACGCAGGTTTTAGTCTTTGGTTCCATGTACCAAGGTGCCATTTTGGTACATGTTTTTGAGCCACAGCCATATGGCCTCACCAAAGGTCACGCAGGTCGGGCGGCAGGCGAGGAGCCGGGCTTGGTGAATGTGAAGCTTGGCCCAGGCATCCAGGTGGCCGATGGCCAAGGCACTCCTGCCAGGACATGGACTGCACCCCGCGAAGGGGAGTCCAGATTTGTTTCTCGCGTTGCTCGAAGGGGAAGATGGACAGTCTCATTTGGAAGTTGACCCTATCTTCCTAGGCCGACAGCCGCACCAAAATGTGTTAATTATGTGTGTGTAAAGTGTAGAGCGAAGCGGAGGGTGAGTTCAGCATCTCATTTCGTTTCTTTGCTTGATTCCCTCCTGTTGATCTTGTTTGGTCTCCCTTTCCCTCCTAAAACGTGTCAATCGGGCAGGGGCGTTTGCTGATATGCTGGGGTGGCTCGAGTTTACAAGACGCGGCCGTTCGGATGTCCACTGTTCTAAGTCCCATCAACGCCACTTTAACCATCACTGCGGCCAATCGGGCTGACTTTCCTATGGGGTCTCTGCCCGGATAGGCTCTAGGGTTATGAAGGGTTTTGGGGGGGTTCGGGGGTACCCCATGGTTTCCTTTAAGGGAATCCAGGTTCATTCCCTCATTCCCTACTGAGCATGCCGGTATTTTTTTCGAGGGAAAATTTCGCGGGAGCCCTGCGCCGCTTGGCGCAGGCCAGGGATGAACATGGAGCGCGAGCCGCGGGGCCTCCGGCGATTCTTTCGGAGGCGGGCGAACTTCAATTCTTGGGCGCGTCCCCTTGGGAGGTGCGGGCGGCGGGACCAGGGGGCAGTTAGAGGCGGAGGTTGTGTGTCTCTAAGACGTCTTGACCGTGGGGTCATGGAAAATCGATCAAGACTGATTTTGATTTGTCCCCGAAGGAAAAGGTAAAGGGAGGGTGTTGAAAGAAGAGCGGGTGAAGGTCCAAACATGAAAGACAGAGTAGATCTAGTTGAACATATTTCACCAAGCGGGGGGGTCCACCCCTCAGAGGGGTGTTATTGACAAATACCCTAAGAGGTCCTCTGAGGGCCATGCGGGTTGGTCTGTAGCCTCCGGGGGCCCTTTTGAGGTTGGTTTGAGAGAGGGACGCCAGAAGGAGCCAACATTTTCCCCATCGGCACATGACCCATGTTCCTCTTAAAAGGGCCCCCGCCAATCAGCTTTGATAGGGGGATGGAGGGTGTTCCGGACATCGCCTTGAAGATGTTTTTTTTTTAGGGGGAGGGCTAGAAACATGGACTTGGATGAACAGCCCTTAGCAAGCGTTTACCGGGTGGTTCCCAGCCATCGTTTTAGTGGTAGTTTCCACTAACTGCAACAAGCAAAGTTACCGTAGGATTCATCCCCTAAGTGGTACAGATCCCTTGGATCGCCCTGCTTGTATCACCAGTCAAGTTGGTCAGGTGCCAGTAACCAGAGTTAGTATGCTCCTGAAGTTGTAGTTGAATGTAGGGCAACCCGTGCCTAGCTTGCCGAGTTTTTCTTTTTTTGACCACTTTCCAAGATGGCTTCCCCTATTTTGAGACCAATCGTCATACCTAGGCCAAAGTGGGCGCTAACTTTACAAGGAACCCTGTGTGGCAAGTGAGTTCTTGATCCTTTGGCCTGTGTTGGTGCAAGCAGTTGGGGCGGCCTCAGGGGAACACCAAAAGGAAGAAGAGTCCATCTATTCACGGGCATTGCAGGGTACTCCCATCAAAGACCCTGTTTTTGTTGGGGACTCTTGCACCACTTGCCACTCGAGGGACAGGTCTTCTCGTTTTTCTCCTCCTTTTGGAAGGGGAGCCCAAACACTCCCCCCCTTCCCGAAAACACAAACCCCTTGGCCAACTTTTGGTTTGGGGGGAGGAGAAGTTCTATCCTCCCCCAAGCTAACATGGAAGCTCCCAAAACCGCCCAGGAAGACTTGGTTCCATTCACAGTGGCAGTTTGAGGGAGTGCAAGTCAGACACGCGTTCCCTTGGTGGCTTCCCTTAGTGACGGACATACCTAGAGTCCCCATGAGCCCTAGAAAAGGGCTCATAGCCCCTTAATTTTGGGTAATGACCACCATTTTTAAGGGTTATGGAGACTCTAGATCCACTTCGAAACGCACCGTTTTTTGTCGTCGCGTCGGGTTAGGAAGAAGAGTTCGCCGGGCGGCACCCCGTTGGCCAGCAACGAGGGATGGTCTCCCGCCTCGATCCTCTCCAGGCTGAACGGGCGGGCGGCGGGCCGGTGGGCTGATTTTGGGGCGGGTTGGGGGTTGGGGCTGGGAATGGATCCATGTGGGTGTGGCTCAAAATTACACAGGAGGGGTTACGCAGATTTTGGTCCATGTTTGCACTTACCAGGGTTCCATTTTGGTACCGGTTTTTTGAGCCACAGCCATGTGGTTTTTGCGGTGGGCAAGTAAGTCCTCAGGTTTTCCAGGGCATTGCTTTGCTTTCCCCTTGAAGGGTGCGGATGCTTTTTCACGTCGCGCTTTGGAAGGAGTTCAGGCGAGTTTCCTTTTGCGCGGGAAACCTCGGGGGGAATTGGGGAATTGGTTGCAACCCCCGATTCGGTGCCAGATCGAGGACCGGGTGGTGGTTGTTACGCTAAAGGAAAAGCCACGTGCAAGTTGTTTGGGCGTGGTTTAAATATGCTGATCGGGAGGGACATTCTGACCCGACGAATCAAAAGGCTTTAGATTTTGTGGTTTAGTACCCGCCCAAGAGAGGGGGGAATCGATCCTGTGCTAAATCAAGCTGCAACCTTAGATCTGGAGCCGACGACTCTCCCCACCGAATTCGTCTCTCACTTAGTCTCAGATTCCTTGTTCCACACTGATTTGGGCGCCGTGTGTCAAGATCACTTTTTCTTTTCTTTTTTGAAATGGTCAGATTTTCGACTCGGTTTTCGGGTTCTCGGGTTCTCGAGTTCTCGAGTTCTCGGGTTCTCGGGTTCTCGGGTTCTCGGGTTGTCGGATTTACGGATTTTCGGGTTCTCGGATTCTCGGGTTCTCGGATTCTCGGATTCTTGGATTGTTGTTTTTCGGATTCTCCCCTTCTTCGTCGCCCTGCGCCTCAACAACTCACAGTCTCTTGCACAGACTAAGTCGTGCTCGCACCTGAGCTGCCAAGCGCAGGTACACCTCACGATCCACCTTGCCCGCTTTCAAGAGGTCGTCCAGCCACCAGCCCTCAGCCCCGTACGACTTGAAGGGCGGGAAGCAAACCTCCAGTCGCTGCCACTCCTAGTGTGTGTGTGTGTGTGTGTGTGAAGGTTGTGAAAAAATATTGAGGTCTTGGAGCTGCTGCTGATGTTCATAGTTTTAAGCTTTTTGAGCTTTTGAGGTTGCTGCTGCGCCCTATACGAGTTCCCAAGAACCCGAAACATCCGAGAATAATCAGGGAATCCGAGATCCCGAGAACCCGAAAATCCCAGATACGAGAATCCGAGAATCCGAGAACCCGAAAACCCCAGAACCCGAAAATCCCAGATCCAAGAACCCGAGAATGCGAGAATCTGAAAACCCGAGAACGCGAGAACGTGTTACTGTAGTTTGTTGCCATGCAGCCGTTTGGCAATTGTTCTGAGGGGTTCATCGGACACCTTGCTTTCATCGCCCAGTTCTGGCCAGCGTGGGTGGCGCAAGCTGGGGGTCCCAAGCTTCTTAGAGGTAGCGGTGCAACTTGGCAGACTTTGATGGAGGAAACAGGCGGGTGTCATCCTGGACGGGGCGGGGGACGCTTTCTGCTTGCAGCGGAATCGCGAAGCGCTCCGAGGGCGACCCAAAGTTGTCAAGGGGGCGCAGTCTGCAACCAATGTGTGCAGTCACAGGCGCTCCCTTTGTGTCAGAGCTGTGGTTGTGACTTTTGACTTGAGCGCAGAGAATTTGGAGGCCTTACGCTCAGACCATTGGTTGAGTAACCGAGAGAGTGTGCAGCGCTCGTTTGATACCAGACCAGGCGGCTGTGACGGAGTTGAATAGTGTGAGGCAGCAGACGGCGCTGGGTTTGAGACTGTGTACGTGCTCACTTGCTGAGACCCAACAGGAGATGACGTAATTGATTTTCTTTTGCCGCAAAAACAAGCGCGCAAGGACTTGCTGCTGGACTACGAGCAGTGGGGCCTCTTGCCAAACAAAGCGGACCATGGGAATTGAAAGGCCAGGGCCGCAAAAGGCTCCCGCCAGAAGGCGTGGTGGAAGCGCAAAGCCGATTGGCCTTGCAGACCGGCCGTTGCCGCGAATGTTTAGCCTTTAGTTCGAGCCCGGGCCGCGCACATGCGCTAAGCAATCTGCAAGGCAAGCGAGCTAAGATGACAAAGCTGCAGGCGTGCAAACAGCGGGGCGCTTGCAAGCACCCAGCAGGGGAACTCCGCAGCAATCGTCCCAGCCTAAGACTGGTTGCCCGACTCAGAAATTATTTCGCTGGGGTCAAGAGCAACTTCATGCCATTTGAGGCTTTCCGTAAATAGCTGCATTCGTTTTTTAGTGGACAGTGGCGGTGGTTATGTTGGTAAGTAAGTGAAACGCAGGCCGCGGAAGCTCCGCGGAAGCGGCGCGGAAGCTGCGACCTGTTATGTTCTTTCAAACTATTGGCTTGCCTTTAAACATGTTACACGCTTGTACCGAAAAGTTACTTTCTCAAGCTGGATCTCGGAAAGTGCACCTCGCGTACTACATCTGTGTATGAACAGTTCCAGATCAACGAGCTGGAGCTGAGAAAGTGGCCTTCGCGTACTACATTTGTACTAAAATTTGCGATTCTCGAGCCGGAGCTCGGAAAGTGCCCGACGCGTACTGAAATAAAAAGCCCGCGCCTTTTCGTTATGTAAGGGGACGTCCTTTAACTTGTTTTGCTGGCCCAAACTTTTAAACCGATACAGAGGAAAAACGATACCCCCAGAAGCCATCAAGACACACATCAGGTCGGCCATCAGGTCCAAGCTGTTGTCGCAAACCAAGATTGCGGAATCAGACATTTGCAGGGCCCAAACCGATACCCAAACCGATGCCCAACCGATACCCGACTCATTAGCTGCTGTACAAATCAAACTGACCATGCCTGGACAAGAAAACGATTTGGTTTAAACGATGCCCCGAACGATGCCCAACCGATGCCTATATCGCTGGCATAGCCCGCAAACTGGAACCAAGAGCCTGTCCCGGAATGTTCTCGAGATCTTCTAAGGAGATGCCTTGGTCTGGATCTGCTGAATAACCAATCGCAATTGCACAGCTGACAAGAGCAGATGAAGAGCATTCGCAGCTATGGATGCTGCAGAAGGTACGCTTTGCGCCGCGGAAGCGGCGCGGAAGCGGAGGGATCGCCGTTTTTTATTATTATTATTATTATTATTATTATTATTAATTTTTTCTCAGTGTTTTACGCAAACCCTCATTTAGACATGTTCACTCAGCTCGAAACGAGCAAGAGAATATCTCGCCCAACTCAAAAATTGCTTCAGCAGACTCAGAACTTGTTTTTGCTGAAGCTATCAACACCGCGCGCCTGCCAAATGGTAAGTGCGCCCGCTCAAGCTCTTGCTGCATGGGATTGTCGGATTCTTGAGTTCTTGGGTTCTCGGAATCTTGGGTTCTCGGGTTCTTGGGTTCTCGGATTGTCAGATTGTCGGATTCTTGCATTCTCAAATTTCGGATTCTCGGATCCTCGGATTCTCGAATTCGCAGATTCTCGTTTTCTCCGATTGTGTTTGCCGCGGTTGCTGTTTTGGTCGACAAGTTTTGGAACACCGGGCGCCCTAGTCCCACCCTAATCGGATCATGGTTGCCTGGCCTAGGGCTTTAACTTTCAGCAGGGTCGGACCCTCCCTCCAATACGGGTTTGCCTTGTTTCAGCGTACCCCTTCCTTGGTGGTTTTCAAAGGACACGAAAAGGAAGAAACAAAAAACAACAATGCGCCCACATCTCCCGCACCCAAAAGACGCCTTCCCCGCTTTCGCCAGGCGAAGCCGCGAAGAAACCCCAACGGAGCGGGGCCGGCCGCGCCAAAGAGCGCAGAAGAGGCGCGCCTCTGCCGGCCAATTTTGTTGTTTTTGGGATGCCTGGTGTGTACCTAGAGTCTCCATGACCTCTAGAAAAAGGGGGCATAATCCCGTAATTTTGGGTAATGACCCCAGTTGTTATGGATGCCTGGTATGTCAATGACCCAACCTGTTCTTTTTGTTTCTTTTTCTGTGCATGGGAGCTCCTTTTTAGATTCCTTCCCTCACTAAACGGAGACCCACCTCCGATTCTCAGTTGTCCAAAGCAGAGGATTGCCGTTCACCGAAATCCGAGGTTCACAAAATTCTTCTTGGGGTCTGCAGAGGTGGCCGACCGGCGCCCATAAACATCCAACATGGTTCCTATTCTGGCAGCCAGGACCATAAGACTATGAACCACGTTTGGTTGGAGTTTTGACACATCTAGCACCAATTCTACTTCGGGACTGCCTAGTCATCAGGTGCATCAACTTCGTCTTGTTCTTTTCTCTTTGTCCAAATGGGGCGGTTCGTTTGCTTGCCTGCTGGCTTGCTGGCTTGCTTGCTGGCTTGCTTGCTGGCTTGCTTGCTGGCTTGCTTGCTTGCTTGCTTGCTTGCTTGCTTGTTTGTTTCACAAAGCTACCCTTTTGCAGGTTAAGGCGAGAGCCCAACAGAACCAGTCACTCTTCTGGGGAAAGAACCTCTTTTCGGGATGAACGATTCCTGTTGAATGTGGTTTTGCTTGAGTACTGCAGTTTTTAATCCAGGCACAAGTGACAGGCATTAGCTGTCGACAGACCGGAATCGTCAAAATCCTCGCTGCATCCCGGGATTTAGGGTTGGACAAACAATCATGTATCTATGAGTTGCCCAAGAATCCTCTGTCAATCTTGGAGCTTGGATGCCTAAACTCACCATTCCCCAAAAAGGCGCTACCTGAGGTGTCCTATCGGTCAGGTTGGCTAGAAATAGATGGAAAAACAATGGTTTGGATGGGTTTCATGCCCAATTTACCAGGGACACCCTGGCAAAACACCCCACCTACTGTGGATGGACAAAATCCGTTTGCACCACTTGGACACCATAGGAAGCCATAACATTTGTTGGCATGTAGAGGGGAATCGAATCCTTCCAGGCTTGCTTCGGTGGTGCGAAATGGATTTTGTCACCCACAGTATGAACCCTACTTATTTTTTTGAATATGGTGGGCTTTTTTTTTGGGAACTCCTTTTTGTCTGGTTTGCTCAAGGATCACTAACAGAAAAAACACAGCGTTCTATTTGTTTTTGGTGACGCTACCTCAACGGGCTCTGTTTTCAACGCTGTTGCTGAAGCCTATCTTCACCTCTCGGAAAACCCCGCCGGTTTGAACGTGTCTTTTTTAGCTGGGGTTTCATCTTGTTTTCGTAAAATCCCCCACCTCTGTGATACAAAGGAATCTCCCCCCCTAAAATGGGAGGTTAGTTTTGGGGAAGCCGTTTTTGTATTAGAGCAGTGGATTCCATTTCAACCACAGCCCTGGTTCTTCACTGTTTTTCGGGACCCTTGTTTCTTTTTTCCATTTCAACCGCAGACCTGGTTCCTGTTTTCAACGTTTTTTGCTGAAACCTAGCTTCCCATTTTTTCGGGACCCTCGGATTCAACGCTTTTTAGCTGGGGCTCACCTTGTTTTCGTTAGCTCAGGCAACCCTTAACTGGCGGTTTGGATTGGTTTGAGGATTTCAACCTCTTGCTTCTGTAGGCGGTAAATGGGAAACCTCCTTAACCAAAGCACCGATCCAAACCACCAAAAAAACGACGGAAGCTGAACACTTGCTGGTGCGATAGGGAATGGCCCAGGGTTGTGGGAAGGAACCTGGAGATTCCGAGAGTTTTTTCTCAAACATGGGCTCAAAAATGGGGATCGGTCCAAAATGGGGATCGGTCTGGTAAATAGAGTTGACCCAGGATGAATCAACCCGTCCCATGACTCGGGGGGTGTTCCCTCCAAAAGTGGTCTGATTCCCACTAAAAGGGGACACCCTCTTATTAATTAATCAATCAGGGGTTGCTCTTAATTTGGGATTAACATTAGGCTATAACCATGGTTGTCACTGGTATAGCTGAGGGGTAGTCCCCTTGCAACTATGGTTGTTGCCTACTTACTATCTGGGGTAGACTTAGGATACGTTTTTCCATTTTCCCAGTGACTCCATGTGAAGCAAGCAATAAAATATACATTCTACAACTGGGCCTAACTCTAATCATGTTAAGTTGGTTGAACATTAGGAAGGAAGCTGACCAAAGCGACCCAAGCGACATGCCAGGGCCCCGCTGACCTGCATGACCTTCTTCGCCTGCGGGGCCCTGCCGCGGGGCGAGTCCCCCGAGCGCGCGCGCACGCGCCCGCGGTCTTCGGAGTCGCCGGAGGCGGGTTCGTGCGGAGCGGGGTGGTTGGAGGGTGGCTGTGGGTCAAAACCAATGGGATCCCATTTTGGGGTAGGTGCACCACCCATTTTAGTCTATTTTAGTGAGGATTGGGATGTTCACTGGGGGTACAGGATTTTGACCCATGGCCATGTGGGGATTCGGGTTAAATGAGTCACGTGCTCAAGGCAGACAAACTCGTCTTCGGAACCGCCCTCTTACCATACAGCAGGGGTGCAATCGATCGACCTCACAAGGGGGCTTTGGTTTGCGACCGAAGTTTGCTATAGACCTAGCCCAAAAGTCTTTTGTCAGGTATCGTCTCCAAGCGTGGAAGTGCACAGGCACCTGTTGTGCGACTACTTTCCCTTCTGGACGTAGGTTTCTGTGCACTTCCACGTTTGTTGGTGGGAGGGTAACCCTAGGAATTGGTAGTTGGAAATTGGCTCGCTTGTTAAAGAGAAGGCAAAGGGAAACCAACGCTTTAGGGGGTCCGATTTCCAACAAGAAGGCTCCCACGTGAACCTCAGTTCTCTCTTGCAGCGGGGCAGGCGTTCAGGATACTTTGCTTTTTTGGTTTTCAAGGCAACCCATCAGTTTTTTTTTGATAGCTGGCCTACAGCTCATTTGAGGGGCTTGCTAACCCGGGGTGTTGGGGCTGGTCGTCCCAGCAGGTCGCTCTTGGCGGAAGTCGAACTAATGTCAGTGCACGATCAGATTCCCACGAAAGTAGTACAGGGCCAACCAGGCTTGCCAAACAAAAAGGTTTATACCCTATATAAACCTTGTATGACCATGTTGGTACGGCGGATAACCAGTTTTAAGCCCCTGCCTCCCCTCTCCCTCTCCCTTCCCCCCTCCCCCCCTCCACCCCCTCCCCCCCCCCTCCCGGAAGCCAGGCCTTGTCCATCACCCCGGCGGTGACCACCAACGCCATGCGCCTGCGCTGGGCGCGGGACGACCGCACCCGCGTGGAGCAGATCCGAGGCGCGCGGATGCGGATCGGATGGAAAGATCAACTGGGGACGCCTCTTGGAACGTATGGCCGTGGGTCACAACCAATGGGATCCCATTTTGGCTGGTAGGTGAATTCACCACCTATTTTGGGACCTATTTTAGTGGGGATTGGGATGTTCACTGGGGGTACTGGTTCTTGACCCATGGCCATATCTACTAATATACTGTGGATGGATGAAATCCGTTTCGCACCTCTTAAGGACCCCTGGAATGATTCGATTCCCCTGTAAATACCAGCAAGCAATGGTTTCAACCATGGTTTCAAAGTGGTGCAGGATTTCACAACCATCCACAGTGTTAGGAGGAATATCTACTAACATACAGATCCTGCACCACTTTGAAACCATGGTTGAAACCATTGTTTGTTGATAGTTACGGGGGAATCATCATCTTCCAGGGCTTCTTAAGTGGTGCAATGTGGTGCAGGATTTCGTCCATCCACAGTATGTCCCTAGAATATGTCCCCTGAAATATATCCTTGAAGACGTCCCCTAACATATGTCCCTAAAGGGAACGTTTGGTGCCAAGCCCTGGATAAGCCTAGCCCTGATAAGCGTGGGTTGAGGCCAATAGATCCCTTCATAGAAGCCTCCTACTGTGAATGGACAAAATCCTGCTCCAGTTGGGATGGATGAAGCCCTGCAACTGGGGTAAACTACCAACCAACTAGTGCAGGATTTCGTTCATCCACAGTATCAGGAGAAACATATGCTATCATATGACTTCAAACATGTCTCCTAAAATACGTTTGTACCCCTTTAAAAAGGCCACAACAAAGGGTACGGAGGGCCATGTGTCTATTATCATCATCATGATTATCATCATGATTATCATCATGATTATCATTATGATTATCATCATGATTATCATCATGATTATCATCATGATTATCATGATTATCATCATGATTATTATTGTCATTTTTGTTTGTTTGTTTGTTTGTTTGTTAGCTTGCTTGCTTGCTTGCTTGCTTGCTTGCTCGTGTTTAGGGGTTTCTCTTTGGTTTTTCTCAGAAAGGGTGCCCATGATCAGGCGGGCTCCGAAGCAGCAGCACGGGCAGCATTCTCAGCAGGCGGACGGCTGCCGGATGCGTTGGGGTGGGTACGCAGAAGGATGCACCCTCCCCGGCTTGCTCCAAGTGCCTACATTTTTTTTCTAGGGTACATGTTCAAAAACCATCAAACACTTTTTTTGGGGTACATGTTCAAAAACCAGTTTTTTCAAGGCAAATGCCTCTTCCTTGAGTCAGGAGCTGACATATCATACCCCTGACAGCTCCCAATATCCACTTTTTTTCTTCTTTTTTCGGGGGCACTGCGGGAAAACCAACACGGTGGTTTCCATGGTCAAATACCTCCTTCCGTGTAGTCAGGGCTTGATATCATACCCGAAGAAAGCAGGTGTATTTGGAGTAGAGGGGAGGCTAACCGCCTTTTTCAGGGTACGAGGCCAACCCCTGACTACAAAGAGGCATTGCCATCCAAAACCATATTTTTCAAGATATACAGCACAAGGTGTGCGTTTGTCTTCGCAACGCTCCGACAATCGTTGGATTTAGTCTGGATTAGAGCTGCTTCCGGCGAAGCCTTGCTCCCAAGCAGGACCACGAGAAGAGCATGTCCAACTTTCGCAACTTTACTTGAAGAGAACTTCATTGCTCCGAACCTCGATTAGTCATGAATTCAGGGTTGTTTCAGTTGTGTTAGCTCATCAAAGGGCGCATATTTTTTTAAAGGTATGAGGTGCAAGGCACATCCAACAAAAATTCTCCGAAATTCCTGTTTGACCAAACTGCAAGGGTAGCACATGGGGTTCATCTGTTTTTCCCTGTTTTCAGGCTACCAACTTGTTGCCCCTCGGGATCCTTGAAGTGAGCCGGTGGATTCTTTCAGCCTTACCTTGCTTAAGCCTTGCTATCCAATCTTTGGCCTTTCATTTTTCTGCTCTTCCACTTGAAGCTTCTTGCAGTTTTCATTTGGATGGCTCGTCCTTTTTGAGTTGGTGCTAGGTACCCCTTGTTTGGTCCGTTTTAAAGGGACACGAAAGTTGGGGGTCCTTTAAAAAAAAGGAGACAGCTCCTTCAACCTTCCTTCACATTGGCCTCCCAGCCTTTCTACTCGACCTTCTGGGGTGCTGGAACACCGGTGCTCCATGCGAGTAGTATGGCCGCTGGTATTTGAAGGACTGTTCTATTTCCAAGGCCTGGCTCAAATTTTTTGGAGCCCCCAAGAATGGAAGTTTGAGGACAAAACGGGGCTTCGATTTTGTTTCAACCCCAGAGCAACCCAAGGGTACCAACTCATTCAAAAGCCGCGCTGAGATCTCCGAAATGGCTGTGTCCTTTTTCGAGCCTCGGTACCCCATTTCGGTGTTTCAACATGGAAAGCACAAGGTGCGCCATTTTGGGGACGTGTCCAATTCCTAGAAAAGGACGCCCCGAGTTTCATGGGGCACGGTTCCAATCCGGGCCGCTGGGCCTGTTGGCTTGACTACATGTCTTGAGTCCATCGAGTGGAGCTGCAAGAATTCCCAGTTGGACTGAACCCAGGGAGAAGAGTTTTGGGTTGGTGAGGCGAGACATACCACTCTTTTTATACGGGCAAAGAGATGCTTTATACAAGCGTGCATACCTTCAAGATCCATACCTGAATATTTCCTTGACAAAACAATGGGGTGAATATACCGCCTTGTTTACTATTCAGAAGTTTCATCATTGAATTGGGACCTTGCGGTTGAATCCAGTCATCGTCTTTATTTGCGCTGTGGCGTAAGTGGAGGGAACTTAAGTAACCATAAGGGGCGTTTGGTCAGGTTCAGTATATGGAAGGTTGCTGGTGGTACAACTGCGCCCGAGTAGTATCCTTCAAGTGGATAGGGTAACTCCTACCTAGGCCGACTAAATCAGTTCTTCTTGTTCGCGCTGCAAAGGGAGAAACGGACATCCCCCTTCCTTGAATGAGTCTGTCTTTCTTAGACATCCAAAATGGTGATTTCTTCTGGTGGTCCCGTAAAATCCAAACAAAAGGAACCCTCAACACAAGAGACCCACGTGGTCGTCGTGGGGTGTGAACCTCCATTTTGGGGCAATGAACCAACACCTACACCACATGCAATGATCAGACAAAGGCAGGGAAGTTGACCGTGTCAGGCGCACACGCACACAGGCAAGGTGCAGTAGCTCAAGGTCCACCCCATTGCACAAGTCGTGAACCCCGGGCCGCCGCCATTCCGCCGCAGCCACTTGAGAAGCCCATAGAGGGCTGCAGTTTGGGAGATTCCTAAAAAGTATCTTTGGCCGGCTGTCATGGACACCGCCTGTTGAAGGATCATATTGCGGCCTGAGGACCATCGATGCAAGAAAGCCAGTGCTTTGATGCAGAAGGGATAAACTGCCCTCTGAGCGAGAAACCTCAGGCCAAATTTGCGGCGCAAAGAAGTCACCCAGAAGCCGGGGCCTGGATTCAAGCACCATCTTCGCTGGGTTTCCCTTTCGTTTCAAGATGGGTAAACCACGGGTTGAACCGAATCTTCTTTTGTTGTTTTGCCTTTCTTAGGTGGCAACTGGTTGCAACCAATTCTGCCAAACAGCCCAGGCAGCCGAAACCCCCCACCGAGCCAAAGCTAGCCAAGCCCCGGACGGTTCCATCACATCCTGTGGCCTCGATCCGCCATGTCTGCCATTTCCGCGAGCAAAGGCGCTTGTTTTTTTTTTGTGAGGGGGAGAGGGGAGGGCGAAACCTGGAGCTTGGTGAAACCCGTGGCCAAGGTCTGAGAGTCTTTCCCTTTTCTCGGTGAGCTTTGGGTGGATTGGATTTTCACCCTGAAACCTTGGGTTTGCAGGGCCATGGAAGCTGAGGCCCGGATTTCTGGGGCTCTTTGGGGGTGTGCCAGTGAACAACAGACGGCGGTCTCGCTTCCCTTGAGATCCATCCGAAAAAAGGAGAAAAAAGAGGGTCGCCTCAACAAACGACACACCAATTTAGTTTTCATTTGGAGATTCGCCAAAATAGCCTTTTTTCCCACGACATGCTCACTGTTGGGCAGAAGTTGAGGCGGATTCAGCTGAATTGTGCTGGGAGGAACAACTCGCCGGCAATTAACCCGGAGGGTACCCTGGAAAATGTGTGCACACATGGAAATTTGTGTGCAAATGGATGTGTCGTTTTGACAGGACCCTTCAAAACGGTCGTTTCCTCTTGGTTGCCCTTTGAAACTGCCAAGCAAGGGGTACCCTTAAAAAAGACACCCACATAGGTTGTTGGTGCCTTTGTCTCCGGGGTCTCATTCCTTGGGATGATATTGGACACATGGCTGTGGTTCCATGCAGTCCACCAAGACCATTTTCATTTAAGCTTCACGCGCTAGCGCTAGTCAGTTGAGATGGAGCAAGCCAACCTGGGGGAAATTCACCAAAAGGCCCCTTTCAACCGGTTTGCTTTCACCTTTTTAGCAACATTTTTCGTCTTGCTTGCACTTTTTGTTTGTCTGCTTGGATTACCATCTCAAGAGGTGGATAAGTCGTTCACAACCCTAGCAAGTCTTCTAAGTAGGACTTACCCTACATACAACTCTATCAAGGAACGAATCCTAACCTGGGTTACTACGCACTTCTGTGAAGGCCCGTCATTCAAGTAATTGGGGTCCCCTCCCTTTCAAACCAAAAGGAGGTTCCAACCACAAAACATCCAGATGAATCCGTCCGTAGGGCGCTGTCCCTACCGCTTTTTTCTCCCCTCGAACGCGTCTTCGCTCCGCTCCGTTCAGATGCGCCCGCTGAAAAAGCCGGCGCGCACGCGCCTCCTGCGCACGCTACGCGCTGGGCGGCGCCGCTTGCTCCTGATAGCAACCAGAGATGAGTTGCGACCAAGGACCGAAAAGGTCAAGTATTGGCAACCAGATGTTGTGAACAATTGGGATGTTAGGTTGCCACTTTCTCTGGTGCCAAGGGAATTTTCCTGAAAGTGAGTCAGCACTCATGTGAATCCACCACTTTGGCATCACAGCAATAAATGTCCACACCTGTGCTCAACCCCCAGGGAACAACAAATGAGGACCGGCCAAAATATCCCGATTTGTCTATGGTCTATGTCTACCTCCAGGGGTTCCTCGTATTTTCTCCATAACCACATTGGCAGACACAGCTTTGAAGAAATGGCAGAGTTTTATACAACGCCAGTGGTATAATTGTTTCTGGCCAACGCATCGTTTTTCAAGCCTGCTTGTGGACAAAAGCGCCTTCAGCCATTATTTTTTTTTTGGGGGGGGGATTGGGGGCCCCCAAAAAAGCGAAGCCACCCATATGGCTGTGAAACACATATTATATATATATATATATGCATATTTATGTCAGGTTCATGGAAAGCGGGTCGTCGATTCTTTGAGGAACGTCAAAAGAGAAACTGTCGTTTGGTACCCTCACTTCAATCAGGGAAGCTGAGAAGAGGGTGCTTTGTGAATTCTGCTCCAAACCACCCCAAAGCCTATCTGGGCAGACACCCCATACCTTTCAACTGTTGGTGGGGAGAAGAAGGAAAACGGATTTGCAACCCACAATGTCTGGGTTCCCCTGATTCAGGGAAACCAAACAAGAAGCTCGCTTGCTTGTTAAGTGGGCAAATGGTCATCCCTTCAACTCAGCCAGAAAGGACGAAGACTTCAAATTCTCAAGGGGGGTCGGGCGCTGTTCATATGGTTGTGCTTCAAAATGTGTGGTTTGCGTTTTGGCTTCCCTTTTAACCAAACCACAGGGTGCAGGTGCTGCCCATATGAGATGAGTACTGTGGATTGACAAAATCTGAAGCACACCAGTTTGGATGGACGAAACCCGACTTGAATTGTGTCCATCAACGGTAGGAAAGGGGCTAACTACTTGATCAATTTCAGTTCCAATGGCTGCAAACAAGCAGGTAAGAACGAAAATGGTTTCAAGACTCCCGGAAAAAGACCCCCCCCAGCAAAAAAACCACCCGAAACCGCCACACCGCCGCTCGCCTCCCCTCGAGGCTGGGGCTCCTGGGCTGGGCGCTGCTGAGCGCCGCCGCCGCCGCCATCGGCGCAGTGGCCATGGAGCCG